GAATGGCGCGCCCGGAGAGGCTTAGTTCAAACGATCATTGCAAACGTTGTGATAGGGATAGAGACATGCAATTTTTGGTTTAACGAAGGTAATACGATAGAGAATAATACAAAGTAATAAAAACCACCTGATAAAGGGGCATTTTTTGGAGAAATTTATCAAATAACCAAAAAAACACGAATTTAAAAGCAGATTTTTTTCAAAAAGTATCATTTTTTATTATTTGTTGGCCTTTTTTATGTATTTTATGTATTGTTTTAGTATTGCCTGTTATTTAGCATTATTACTGTTTTTATTTTATCAGGATATACCGCTTAGTTTAAAAGTTATTACGTTTTCTTTACAATAAGTAATTGGAAGAAAAAAAAAACTATAAAAAATTAAAAAAAAATCTCAAAAATTTTTTGACCTCTTTTTTGTCGATAAGAATAGGTCTAGTTTCATCTATTTTCATATGTACACTTTAACGTGACTCACACTGTATATAAAAGAAAGTCGTGTTAGTTACTTCGCTTATAACTCAAGAACGGCTGAACCGATTTAGCTGAAAATTGTCAGGGAGGTAGTTTAGAGCCAGGAAAAGGACATAGGATACTTTTTATCCCGTTCGAAGTTTTAAAAAAAGTCTGCTTATTTATTGCCATTAAGGCGGAACAAAGTTCGCCGGGTCAGCTAGTTTATTAATAAAAGTAAGTTTTTTTTCCATAAACAGAATAAAATAACATAGTTTAGCAAAAGTATTAGTTAGTGCAATAGATCAGACACAACCAGTTTATGAAGGCCAGTGTCATTACTGTTTGTTAAAGTTATTTACGACTCTAACATGACGTAGGCTTATGGTCACCATGATCGTGATCAATAAACTTTGACGTAGTGTAGAAGGGAACTAAAATAGGTTTGTTCCGAAGCATCTCAATAATGTCAACAAATGTCACCAAACCAACAGTATTGGGACTATTCCCACCTTTCTTTCCCACCACTGCAACTCCTGTGTAGCCAGGATCTACAGCTTGAATGCCAATAAAAACCTAAANAAAGAGACTGACACAATTCTGGTGGTCTTAACGCTATCAAGCGATCTCATCCAGAACACTCAGGGAGAGGGCACTTATTTAAAATGTAAATGGGAAGCAGTAGATCTTATACCTCACAATATAGACAAAAATATCCACAATGCCAAACTTATCGATAAATGCCTATCCCAGCCATCACTTTCGATTTCATTGGAACAAAAACTAGACATGATCAACTTGCGGTACATTGCTGCAATTGCGATCTTCTTAATAAGACGCAAACGTTGGCTCGTTGCATTTGTATGGAATTTTTACTTTTACTGACGTGGTTTAATCGAGCAGTATAAAACTAATAATACCTAGTAATAAAGTTTAGATTCATCAATGATTACTCGTACTTATATTCTTTCAAAATTCTTGCATGGCGACAATAAAACGTACTTATTACTGAATTAAAAAATTCGACCACAGTAAGTAAGTATAATTCTATAGTTCTAGGTAATCTATACCTACACACCTATTTGCCCGTGTGACTCCTTAAGTTGTGAGTACTTCTATACATATATTTTTAGATTAGTACACATTATTGCGGGAATAAAATGTTATCATCATACAGTCAAGATCGGGTGAAGCCGCGTTTTTTAGCTAGTTTAGATAAAGTCAAACCCATTTGAACTGTTTGAACTGAAGACCTTTATTAGCAATTTCACCCGTTGCTTTCAAGTTTCCGTAGTGTAGCGGTTATCACGTGTGCTTCACACGCACAAGGCCCCCGGTTCGATCCCGGGCGGAAACAGTTAATTTTTTTTATACCTTTTGCCTTTGTTTTTTATTTTTGCCAAATTAAGTAATTATGTCGTTGTTTTTTAAATTAATATTACTGTTATTCTTGATATTGACAAAAATCTACTTATCTTACGCCTGAAGTAATTTGTAAGCTAAAATCAAACGGGTCAGAGTAGTTGCCATTCTATTTGCAGAAGGCGTTTAGAATTTGACGATAAAATTTGCGGTTGGCGTGAATTTTGCAAACAACAAGTAATTTAAGAAACTTTTGCTTGTACCTGATTACTTATTTTATTGGTCGACAATAAATATTTATGAATTAATTATGAAAATTGCGGTCATTCTTTTGGCAAAATATTGTTTCCAAGTAACTTCTTGAAACCAGTGGGTTACAACAAAGATAGTTTAGAGAATTGTTCTTCTGTTAAGTTAAGTAGAGAGTAGTCCTACTCATAATATTATTATGTAGTTTTATTTAGATTGTTACAACATGAAGCCTGGGATGAATTTTATTTCGATTTGTTAATGTAGACCCAAAATATAGCTTGATCTAACTATTGGACGACCAATTTTTTTTAACAGTGGTCAATATCCTTATAGCGTCGTTGAAATATCAGTCATTAATAAAAAGTATTTTTTTTCCATAAACAGAATGAACTAATCATAGTTTAGAAAATATATTAGTGCAATAGATCAGAATCACAACCAGTTTATGAAGGCCAGTGTCCTTGCTGTTTGTTGAAGTTATTTACGACTCTCCATGACGTAGGCTTATGGTCACCATGATCGTGATCAATAAACGTTGACGTAGTGTAGAAGGGAACTAAAATAGGTATGTTCCGAAGCATCTCAATAATGTCAACAAATGTCACCATACCAACAGTATTGGGACTATTCACACCTCTCTTTCCCACCGCTGCAACTCCTGTGTAGCCAGGATCTACAGCTTGACCGCCAATAAAATCCCAACNAAAAACCTAAACAGTGAAGGTCAAGTTTGTCCCGGGGGAAAGCTAAACTTTCATTGGACCCCGCAATTAAATTAATCAGAAGAAGAAACCAACAGTACCAGGACATCACTTAAGATGATGTCCCGAGTCCCGATGTTATTATCGTATAGAACTCATGTCAGTTCGTTCATTCGTTTCAGCTGAATGACGTTCACTGCTGGACAAAGGCCTCCCTCAAGGATTTCCACAACGACAGGACCTGCGCCGCCTGCATCCAGGCACCTCCCGCGACCTTCACCAGATCGTCGCGTCGGTCCACCTAGTGGGGGTCTTCCGGCCCGTGGTCGCCACTCGAGAACTTTTTTGCCCCATCGACCATCAGCTCTGCGAGCTATGAGAACTCATGACTTTCAGATTAATAATTTTATGTTAAGCTTTCCCATTTATTACACGAGGAAAAGGTATTATCTATATCTATAACTAATATTATAAATGCGAAAGTGACTCTGTCTGTCTGTCTTGCTTTCACGCCTAAACCACTGAAGCGATTTTGATTAAATTTTGGCATAGAGATACTCAGTTTGAGTTCCAGGAAAGGATAGTTTTTATCCTGGTTTTTGAAACAGGGACGCGAGCTATAAAGTTTTTCTGTAACAGACAAAATAAGCAGAAAGCTAGTTATGTATAGTTGAATTTCAATGATAATTTTAGGTAGGCATGTTCTAAGTGTTGGGATCGCGATTTAAGTAGGAAAAACCATACTAATGAATTATTAAAAGCAGTGTTACACAAGAGTTATTAGAACTTCATTGTTCTTGTTGTCAACACTAAAGAGTTTCCATAAATAGCCAGGTGTTTCCGATATTACTTCTAACTATCAATGACAGTTTTGATTATGATTTTCTCAACTTAAAAATAATATTTCAGAAAACTATTTAATTACTATTTCCATTATTACACCACCCTGTATAATTCGGTAGCGCAATGAGTACAGCGTCACAAATAGGGCGTTAAAATAGCAGAAAACATGTCCGATCAGTTTTAAAATTGCTACCATCTCGGCAGACTCGATCAGAGGAAAACTAGTCGTATCCACTTTGTACCAATTAATATTACCAACTCTACTCTTTTCATAGAACAAAATTAAGTAGGTACATTGTTTTTTTCTTTTCGTATCTCTTTGTATCAGTCTTTACGGGCAGGTTATTTACGGACTTAGGACTGCAATTATGGTTATATTTTTAGCTCGTTTAAAATAACACATTTATTAAATTGTCATGCCATAATTGTATTTTGTCTACCTACCCTATTAAAAACTTAAATCGTTATAAGCTATTATAATAACGAGAAGGAAGTGGTTTTTAAATAACCATTATTTTGTAATTTAAAATAACATATTGTTTACCAAAATTTTCCACGCACAAGGTCACGTGTAATTACATAATGTAGATTACAATAAACTATGCCTATTTGTTGAAATGTATCCCTCAATTTTGTTCGCACAATTTGTGTTCCTTACCGAACTTTAAGTATTTAATCTAATATTAAACAAAACGTTTTAAAAATTACTAAACATTTTTAAAGGAGATATTTTAGCAGACACACAATATTATTTATTAGAAATTATGTGTCGTCCGAGCTAATGTTATTTTCATCATTCTAAGTTACAGCCATGAGTAGGTACTTACTGTTGTTTTGCAAATTGATATATGTCAGGTGTCAGTTATCTGTTTTACGGACATATAAATGTACCTATTGTTGTTTAAGTTTTTCTTATTCTTTCTTTGGTTTGTCTTTGTTTTTGCTTCTGCTTCAATTTTGTTGTTCCATTATTCCATCAAATACAGATTTTCCTATTTCCTACGAGTTATTCATGAGATTTACCTGAAGATTTTTCTTATTTAATGCGACACTTTCATCCTACTAATATTATAAATGTGAAAGTTTGGATGTCTGTTACTCTTTCATGCGAAAACTACTGAACGGATTTTATAACCCAGAATATGTGACAAACTTAATTTCACGCGGGTGAAGCCGCGAGCAAAAGCTATGAAATCATAAATTAGGTAATTGTAAAAATAAGAGAGCTTTATTTAAACTTTAATTCAATTTAACGCATTTAATTTCAACGTAACAAGTAGGTAATCACACAAATTAAATGCTATAAAATTGGTGTTATTCCAAGAACCAGTGTGGAACAACACACTTGCTGGACAAGATCTGAGTCCACCACTATCAGTGCAGTGCAGCGCTGACTCCGTGCGCACGCGCCGCTGTATCATTATTTCATTAAACCATCGCATCATTAATTCCGTATCATTAACCCATTATAATGATTCGAGATAGCTCCGCGTAATTCTCGTGTAAAACGGTTGATTAATAGTTTTCTTGTGGATTGCTTTTTTAAATTGGTAAGTAAAGTTAATTATTACAGAACTTAATAATTACAGAACGATATAACCTTTAAAATAGGCAACAATTTTATTATGATAATCATATTATTATTTTCTTGGAAAAGCGAAATGAATAACTTAATTTAGAGGAAATAGTTGTTTTAGCTTGAACCAGGAATAAAACACGGAACTTTTAGCAGACTACAAAATATTATGTGTATCATCGCTTAGTTCATATTTCGTAGGAACATTTTCTTTGCTCTACCAAGGTAATTCAGAGTCTACTACTGTTGGACTACCTACTGTACTCCGTAGTCTAATATTTCGTTTACTCTAGGAACATTTTCTTTGCTCTGCCTAAGGTATTTCATAGTCTAGTACTGTTAGACCACTGTACTCCGTAGTCTAATATTTCGTTTACTCTAGGAACATTTTCTTTGCTCTACCTAAGGTATTTCATCGTCTACTACTGAGACTACTGTACTCCTACTATGAGCAAACCCCACAAACCTGATAAAAATAGTAAAAATATTGATGATTGGAATTCGATATATTTTGTTCCGGAAATGGAAGTCTCACAAGTTATTTATTTAAAACTTTTCATTTTACAAAAACAATTCCTTTGTGGAAATAGGATTTAGATTATTTACTTCAGTTTGAAATGTTTTTCACGTAGGGCTTAATTATATAATTTAATTTCAATTCTAAAGCTATTTACCACACTATTCCCTGTTTTCGCATGTATGTAAAACGATTTTCATTAAATCAAGCTGTCTGTTTCATTAGTTACAATAACAAGTAGGTACGTAAATTACATCCTGAAATATCCTGCGCAAAATAAAAATAAAAATGGATACTTCAGACGTCTAGTAAAATGTTGGTGAAGGTTAGAAACTAGCATTGTTTGTTACCTATTGTTCAGAGGCTGTCAACACATCGTGTGTATGTCATAGACACTAAAAGGAACCTATTATTGTATGTTTTATAACGTAATATTGTGCCAAAAATATTTGAATGATTCATTAATATCAAGAATTGAAAATCGTCACCACGCGTCGGATAAATTAACGCAAGAAGGAAATCAAGATTTCAAATAAGTATTTAACGGTTCGGTTAGAATTTTACATTTTATTAGGTACCTAACGGGTAAACTTTTACGTTTTATTACATTTAAAATTGAGAGAGAGAAACATCAAGCTGTAACTACTAATTTAGTTAGTAGGCTACCACAGAATAATAATAAGTAGTACTACATAAAAACTGTCGCGTTTGAGTTCCGTAGCTCCAGTTTGAATTAAATAAAACGTATTTCTCAAAAAACTGCAATTGAGGAGGTTAGGTTATTTAGTTTGGAAGCGTTAGGTCAATCTGCAAATGACATGGTAAATTTTTTTACACATGCATTGATATTCGCGATTTTGAAAATCCAATGATTGATAGAGCTGTTTCAGAGATCACATATTATGTTGTAGATTTTTTTATATTTTTCCTTTTTATATGTTTTTTATCCAAGTTTAGAAAGGAGGATATTGTGTTAGCCACTTAACATTCCCACGATGTAGGATAATATGTTATNGGACTATTAAAATGTTTGGAACCGTCAGAAGAATGTGTGGTTGATGATAAACATAAAATGTTGCTCAACTCTCACCATAGCTTTGTTTTGATACATACTTAAGCTTGCGACCCTGAAAACCTTACTTGAGAAATTGAAACATAAGTGCCACTTGTGGTCTAAACTAATTAAATATTTTTGATTTTGATTTTTGATTTTTGCAATAATCAGGTACTTTTTTCAGTGTTTTTGAAAAACATACTTAAGGAAGTTTTTTAAGTTACCTAGTTATCTTTATTTTTATATGAAACAAAAATATCTGCAAGAGATTGCTTCCTAACGACGAGACCGCCAAAATTAAGTAGGTACATTATATTTATTTACGAGTATTTTTTGCAAAAGTGCCATTTCAAAGAATCAAGCAATAAATCAATTCCTCGTTCTAAGGAAAACAGTGACTAAGTTATTTACTTAATAGGAAACAATGTTAATTTCCATTCAAAGGTTATGCAGAAGAATAACGGGATAAGTGCGTGTCGGAACAAATTAAAAGGGTTCCGTAAAATAGTTTTCATCAGTTCCAATTTATAAGTTAAGTTATAGTTTCCTAAAAAAATTTAGATTCGAGTAAAGTTCTAGTGGCTGAAACAGTGGCGACAGCTGGTGAATACGGACAGTAGCCTCAATGAGTTCACCACTCTGTTTATTTATTTGATTTTTTTACAGAAGAACCATAAAGAAAATGTGTTAATAATATCGATACCTAATCATAAATTACAGTACAGTAGAAACTCGACCATCCGGATCAATTAAAACCAGGGGTATACCGGATAATCTAAAATCCGGATAATCGATTTCGAAGTAAAATTAAACAATAATTTACTTTTGACAATAGAAAGATGGGTTCTCCTGCAATTCATTAGTAAATAAATAATTATTGAACGAAATAAAATACGAACCAAATTAGGTAAAATGAATTTGTCCTGCTGTCCCTCATTATCTTATGTCTAAGATAATGTCAAATCAACAATTTATGAGCTATAGGAAAGGCTTTTGTCAAGATTCGCATTGGATATGAGGTAAAGAGCCCTTAAGGGCTTACTTATTTTACTTTACAACCCTATAACAATGATAAAGCTAATCTTTAAGTTGCATGACGAAGGGATTGCATCGCATAATAGTTAACTTGTTATGCAACGTAACTGACCAATGTAAACTTTAATCTTTGTTATTGTAGGTACCTACATTGTTATATCTACAAAAAGTTTTCATTTACGATGTTTTTTTNGGTGACTCTGCAATCATCGATCCATACAACTTTACTCATTAGCCTTGCGTCCAATTTGCATGTTCTCTAGAAAACGTAAGTCGCACTTCGCGAAGGTATCGGAGAAGTTCTGTTCCTCGAGCTGGTCTTCGAGTATGCAGGTTATGATTCACCATCCTTCTTCTTATTGTGTGCTCACTGACATTCACTGAGCTTGCTGTTTGTAAACGCTGGCGTATCTCAAACGTGGTGAGAACCCGATTTCTTGATATTGCAAGCAGGATATTCGGGTCATCGCGCGCTGATTTACACCTTAATTCCCCACTTCTTGGTCTTTTTGTGTAAATGGCGGTCTGGTTATGCCTTTGTTACGTGTATCTTAAGTTTGTACGCCATAAATTGAAAGTTTCAGCCATCTCCCGCTGCATACGCCCTTGATTTCTAAGCAACACTATTTGAGCAACTTGAGCTTGAGTAATGGGCATTATTCTCAAATTATGGAAACGAGAATAACCCTAAGATTAATTTAAAAACAAAAAACAAAACGCTAAACCCTTACAACATTTAATGTCGAATTTAAACTTACCCGTACTCTTTACGCTCCAACAACGAAATGCGTTTCTAGAGTCAAAAAAGTTAAACAGACCCATTTTTTTTATAAATCTAGCCTCTTAAATTAACACAAACAAATGTTCTGTTAACATGTCACACGAAACTTAGGTATACAATACCTATTTGGCCTCATATCTGGTTGTTTAGGCTTGGGCCAAATTCCGTGCCGCTGAGTGTATTTCGCTCACGAGTCCGCAACATGCGGGTCAAAGGTTAATCTTAACTAAACGACGTTACTTGGAGTTTTTTAAATTCACGTAAACAGTTACATTTAACCAAGTTTTAAGAAACACCGCCCTAACTCAGTTATAAGGTACCTACATACAGTACATACGTACAGTAGTTTTTTTAATTACGTATGTATTCGTTACAAAATTTTGTAGTCATTAACCTACGTCAAAAACGAACCGGTTTTTATGTAAAAACTGACATTAATTAAATATTCACAAACAAGCATGTCAAATGGGAAGAAATAAAGATCAATGTTCGCCATACCTGGTAATGAAATAAAAAGAAAACATAAAAATATGTAAGAGCAGAAAATAACTAAACAATCAACAGTAGTTGGCGTGAATCACAGAAAATGGAGTGATGTTATGTTTGCCATGAAAAGGACTTTTTGTATGAACAATGATGCATAACAAGCTAAACAATGTAGCATATTATCTATCACTCTCTACTCTACTTGGAGATTGTTATTTAATCAGTAACTTCGGCTAATTTTATTATTGAATAGAATAATTGTCTGGGAGTTTTCGGAATCCGAGACAGACCGAAATTCTAGCACGAGTTGGGAAAAAATAGTATTTATAAAAAATGATTATGTCTGTATATTACTTCCTCACACTTGAGCAGGCAAGAATGCGACGCGAAAGTGATTTTTTTCTTGCGCTTGGACATGGATGGACAAGCATCAGATTAAATAACTTATTCTAGAAGTAATAACACGCATAATGTGCAGAGGGCAGAGTACTAGAAAATATTTTTAGTCGCAAACCATTCCGCGGCGGGTAGTTTAGTGACACTCGTGATAAGGTGACATTGCAAAACGGCAAAAACTTTCGTTTACCAAACATATTTTTTCATAATGTATTTTAATTTACTCTTAAGATCGACCGTATGCATTCAAAAGAACATTATTTAAGATTATTTGAGATTTTCTTGCATTGAAGAAAAATGACACCCCAGTAATTACGTACTCTTTTGGGTAAATGACTCTTTGAAACGTTACAAATTAATTTGCCTTTCGATTGCGCAAGGAGCAAATTTTTAAACTGACAGTCTAAATGCGCATTAAAAATAACGCAGAATATACCTACGAACGAATACAATATCGAGTAACTGGTAAAACGTTGCCTTTGCTCATTCATCATTTCATGTAACTTTTCCTTTCCAGAACCATGTCGGTGATAAAGGCGTTTCCCCTGGAGAAGGAGTTCGAGAAGAACCCTGACATCAGCAGGGAGGACCTGGCCAAGCTGAGGGCCTGGCTGAAGACGCAGCCTCACCTGCCAGGGGAATACTTAACAGGTAACTGAGGATTAGGATAGGAAATAAATGGCAGTGGGCGGGGCACATAGCTCGGAGAGCTGATGGCCGCTGGGGCAGGAAAGTTCTTGAGTGGCGACCACGAGCTGGAAGACGTAGCGTGGGCAGGCCTCCCACTAGGTGGACCGACGATCTGGTGAAGGTCGCGGGAGGTGCCTGGATGCGAGCGGCGCAGGATCGCTCTTCGTGGAAATCTTTGGGGGAGGCCTTTGTCCAGCAGTGGACGTCTTTCGGCTGAAACGAACGAACTGAGGATTAGGATAGGAGTACTTATCCAGCTATATAGTGACTGACGCCTGTATTCACAAACGATGCTTGCTTATGTGAAGCAGCAAATCGAACGCACAGCGTTGAATAGAGCTTTGTGTTTGGTTCGTGTGTCACCCTGTGGGTCCACGCGTACTGTGAGACCTCATAGTAATGTTTGTGAGTAGGTACGGGCGTGAGTTTATTGCGCTGGTTCCTCTCAGAATTAGCCCATTTATTGTGCCGAAGCAGTGGTAGGGAAAATACTGGGACGTGTAAAAGTGCTTTATAAAAGCCTATTGCAAAGAAAAAGAATTTTATGAATTCTTAACTTAATTTTATCTGACTTACTTCCTTCACTATACAAAGTGACGCAATACAGATACGAATTCAAATGAGATTCAACTATATTTTTTGACACTTTTTTAAATTTCTTGGTGTTTGTTTTACTTCCATTCGCCCTGTATCTGAAGAATTAAATTAAAATCCCTAGATAGCGATCGATTATCAGTTATTACCATAATTATATCTTGAGTGGTTAGTTAAGGTCTAAGCTTCAAGGAAACTCTCTGACGATATAGAGGTCAGCTGACGTTTTGAAACGGCCGGCTCGACCAGTTGTTTTTTGAATTTGAGCCGTCCATGTTGACCTTTTTTGATTTGTTGCTACGCATGTGATTAATTAAATATTAATTAAAATGTTTTGGACTATCAGAAAAATGTGTGTGGTTGATGATAAATATTAAAGTGTAGCTCAACACTCACCATAACTTTGTTTCAATAAAACGTGTTAATAAATACTTAACTAAGTTTTTATTTATCAGTCTTTTAACAATATTATGCCTACAAGCTTGAAACCCTGAGAACTCCTCTCTAGAAATTACAATTTAATATTTTGTCAGTGTTTTCGAAAACATAGGTACTTTCTCCTCAATGTCTGAAAAACGTCACTATCTAATGATGAGACCGCCTAAATTAAAGTATTTGTATAAAAGATGTTTACATAACTAGGTATTTATTTACGTGTATTTTTGTAAGAGTGCCATTTCAAAGAATCAAGCAATAAATCAATTCCTCGTTCTAAGGAAAACAGTGACTAAGTTATTTACTTAATAGGAAAAAATGTTAATTTCCATTCAAAGGTTATGCAGAAGAATAACGGGTTAAGTGCGTGTCGGAACATATTAAAAGGGTTCCGTAAAATAGTTCTAATCAGTTCCAAAAAGAGTGCACTGATTCCAGTAAGGTTCTGTCCCTGAACAGTGGCGCCAACGGTAATCTCAATGAGTTCACTACTCTGTTAATTTATTTTAATTTTTACACAAAAAACTAAACGAAAATACGGTAAAAATATCGATACCTAATCATAAATTATTTATTAAATTAGTGAAATAAAATAGGACATTCATAAATTGATTTAAAACGGTTCATGGGCTGGTAGGTAGCTAGTAGATAGCTCCCCTTTTTCTACAATTGATTACTAAATAAATAAATAGTTATTGATCCAATTAAAATGCGAACCAAATCAGGAAAAATTAATTTCAGCTTTCTAGCTAGAGTTACTACAGGACAATGGTAATAAAAGTTACTGCGGACTACGGGACAATAAATCTTTATAGGTTATCTTTGATGTAGCAGTGTCGAGCATTAGTTTTGTTCTAGTTTTTTCTGCTATCCCTCCCTCACATTTTATGTCTAAGATTAGGTAAAACGAGCCCTTAATGGTTAAATACTCATTTTACTTCACAACCCTAAAACAATGATAAAGCTAATCTTTAGGTTGCATGACGAAGGGATTGCATCGCATAATAGTTAACTTGTTATGCAACGTAACTGACCAATGTAAACTTTAATCTTTGTTATTGTACCTACATTGTTATATCTACAAAAAGTTTTCATTTACGATGTTTTTTTTTATTCAACATCCTGAACTATAACGCAACTACTACTTCTAGGAATTTGCAAATGTAGTTTATGCCAAGAAAAAAAACGTATAACTAAGTCAGATAATAAAGATAAAGAGCTGTAGCGGCTTCAAACTCGCTTCACTAGTTTGCTGACGTCATATAAATTTATAGCAATTTACAAAATCTGATTCGAAATATAGCTTCTGATTTGCTGCGCATAAATTAGCATTACGTCATGGTCAAAACAGAGCCTAATGCGAATATTTGTGGACTGCGTATCACTCGTCATAGTGCTAAAAGCACTCATACAAGATGAAAACACAATGCAAGAACCTAACCTAAATGCCAAATGAGATAACTAAACCTGGAAGCTGCGACCTGATATTGGGCAAATCCCCACGAACATGCCACTAGGCTTTGGTCTTATATGAGCAGTATTTATTACATGGCGCAACTTTAGACTAAATAGTTAAATAAAACATTCCTCTTTAGACCTGCCCTCCTAGACGAGTGGTAAAACGTGGTAGTTGCATTGTCGAAAGATGGTCGAAAGGCCTTTTTTGTATAGAGTAACTTACAACGCTTTGTATTTTCGCTTTGTATCTTGTCTTTACCTACTGAACCTGCTGTTATTATTTAAATGTGGCAAGCAGGCTTTGGAAGAGCAGTTCGATAAATGAAATGGCATTAAGACTAAAGCAGGGTTCTCTGACTCATCTAGCCGTGTAGCATGTAATGTATCAGACACTCTGTATCAAGTGAGTACGTACAGTACATAGGCACGAGTCCGCTGCTCGCTGCTCGCGCGGGGATCGCAGGGAGATCGCAGCGACCCGCCGCGTGGCGGTATGGCTGCGAGCACAAAGGCGGCTCGCAGTAGGATCCAGGAGCTCGCAGCTAGATTCGCGATGACCGTGGACGAGCCGTACTCACTTGAAGGTTGGACACGTTACATGCTACGTTACGTGCTAGATGGCAGGTGAGTGACATTGGAAACTAATTAAGGACTATTCCTACCTCAGACCTGGACCTGTTGCTGGTGTTCCACTGCTGCGAGCGCAGCGCAGAAGTGGCCAAGCAGGTGCTGGACCTGCACTACACGCTGCGCACGCTGTTCACCGCCTTCTTCAAGGACCGCGTCATCGATCGGAAGGTCGACCTGTGTTTGAACACTATGTAAGTCTTTGTTATAATTGGGCAATCACATCACATATCACATTGCTTTCAGTTGGATCACCTGTTTGATCACCCAGGTGATCCAAGCGACACTTTGGTGTCTTTTGATCACCCATAAATAAGAAGTTCACTTCGATCACCTAGGTTATCTTATCCATCGGTGATCAAAGGACACTAGGGAAGCGCTGGACGCAGGCCGCTACCAATCGATCAACATGGAAAGCATTGGGGGAGGTCTATGTTCAGCAGTGGACGTCCTATGGCTGAAATGATGATGATGATGATGATGAGTCCATTTTGGTCACCTGGGTAATCAAAACCAGGTGATCAAAGTGTAATAGACCTTTCAGTCTGGTATATTAAGTCATGGCTAAGATTTACTAATATTCCCGTTAACCCCTTCAGCTAAAATAAGGTATAGCGATTTCCCTACAATAGTCTAGCTAGCAGACGACGGGGACAGAACTCCCGACTGTCGAATCGACATGAAAACTGATATCATTGAATCCCTATACCATCCTATGTTTTCGCAAAAAGTAACCTCTCACTCACCCGTACATCTCCCCGCGTTTGTCCTGTTCGTACCAGAGCGTCGATGTGACGTCACGGTTATTAGGTATAGTGACGATATAGCTATAAAACTTAGATGAAACGTACCTTAATGTAACATTATCCTCTTCCAGTCTCTACGCGCCAATCCCCACGCCCACCAAAGAGGGTCACCGCTGCGTCTACCTTCGTCTCTTGGATCCGGACGCTCGCCTCTTCTTCTTCCCCGACGTGGTTAAAACCTTCATGATGGTGTTCGACCTCTGGCAACACGAGGAGGGGACCTGGCCAGGGTGGGTACAGTTTTTAATGAAAAAAATACTATAGGAAGCGCTAAAGATTGGAATGGAAAATGACTGTCCACGATTATTTTATCACCTTTTAGTAAAACAGTTTTCGGACAGTGCATTTTGTAAAGAAATAATGCCCGTTATATCGCGGGTTCACTAATATCCAGTAAGTTTTAGCCACCACCGACTTTTAGTTTGCCGAGAGTTGGGCCCGATTTTAATTTGTATGAAGAATCGGCCCACAGAAAATCGGTGTAATGTGCGCACTTTCATACATCTCCAAATTGATCCAACTATCGGCCAACTAAAAATCAGTCGGCCTAGGCTTAAAAGTTCTGTAGCAATAAAACTTCAAAAATAATAATAGCAATGATTTTATAAAGATACCGACAGACTGCAAACAAAATCAGCTTTTACGGACCTACGTAATTGATAATGTATTGTTACTGTTTCAGGTTCGTAATCATGATCGACATGGACCAAGCTACCCTGGGCCACATAGCGAGGCTAGAAATCATGACCATACGGCAGGTGCTCTATTTCTTACAGGTTAGTATCATCATCTAAATATATAAAAGATGAAACAGACTGACTGACTGACAGATCAACGCACAGCCTAAACGGCTAAACGTAGGCACTTGAAATTTGGAAGGGACGTAGCTTAGGTACCGTAGAGGTGCACTAAGAAAGGAATTTCCGAAATTCCCACGGGAACGGGAATTAGCGGGAAAAACGGGATTCACGCGTACGAAGTCGCGGGCGGCCGCTAGTAGGTATATAGAAATTGCGGCCAAACTCGCGTGTAGCCTATGTGCGCGATGGCGATCAGATGAATTTGTAGCGATGAGTTCACTGCCGACGCAAGTTGCTTTGGCCGAAGTTCATTTAATACATTAATTTTACTCGTACCTACGATAGATTCCAAAGAAATTGCAGAGATGATGTTCACTTTGTACTATGTAAATCCATTGTACATAAGTCCAATGGAGAAACGACTATCGGAGAACGCTTGCAGAATCGTCTTTAACTTGTAAACATTCTAGTGTATGATGTGACAATTTACACATTCTCAGAATAGTTATTAAATATTAAAAGCTATAATTATAAATAGTAACAAGCAACTGTCAGCCATTTGTAGCGGACTTTGGACGACAAAGAAAATACAAAATACAGACTGCATGCTGATAAGAATTTTACGTCTACCCACAATTTTATTTTTATTATTTTCTTTTTTTAATGGATTTCAAGGCTTTGGGTGGAGACAATGCAGTTTTTATTAAATAGCCAACATTAACGTTATTTTTATTCAAGTGTTTAGTGAACATAATTTCATACTTGTTCCAAAACCTTTTTTCTTATGATACATTAATTGAAATAACAGTAAAGAAATAACATGATGTGTGTATCAGAAAGACACTATTTTTTCTTGTGGATACTGAGAGCAGTCGGGCTTTTAGGAAAAGCCCCATCTCAGTTTAGTTCGTGCCTACATTTTTTAGATTTTATTTTGCAATCAAAGATAAGTGTCCGTTACCTATACCTACTGGCTAATATTTTTCTTTTTCAGGAATGCATGTTAATGCGCCTCAAAGGCGTGCACTTCCTCAACGCGCCGCACTTCATGGACAAGCTGATGATGCTGCTGAAGCCGTTCCTCAAGAAGGAGCTGCTGGAGATGATTCGTATCCACCAGGTCGGCGCCGACACGCCCTACGAGCACCTGCCCAAGGAGGCCTTCCCTAAGGACGAGGGCGGGCAGTATAAGGACCATGCTACTATCAGAGGTGAGCAGAAGGGTAGCTATCATCATCATGATATGAGTATGAGTGCTCCTATTTATTGACCATAAGATTTTTATCTCAGGTTTAACAAATTTTTAAACTTCACCGCAATGTTTTAACATATTTTAACTAAAACTTCCTCGATTTTTGTTAAGATTGAAGCAAGGATCACTCAATCCACATGCACATATCATCATCATCTCAGCCATAGGACGTCCACTGCTGAACATAGTAGGCCTCCCCCAATGCTTTCCATGTTTTCCGGTTGGTAGCGGCCTACGTTCAGCGCCTTCCTGCTAGCTTTATTTAAGGGTAGCTATAGTTGGAAAAACTACCCTAATATCCCTACCAGTGGGGATATGTCAGCAGGGATTTGTGGAATAGGGGAAAATTCCCCTTTATGTCCTCCACCAAACAAAGTGATAATTACATTGCTCATATTTCATATATCCCAAATTCCCAACTGACTAAGGTAGTATGGCCTAGTATCATACTTGAATTTTTTTCAACTACTACTGGTTTGGTTTGGAATTTTGCTAGATTGTTCCTACTAATCCGCACTGGTTGGCATTACCTAGTTAAACATGAAATTGAAATTACATATTAAAGTATTAATTGGCTTATTTAGATGTTTTTTTTTCATTTATCGCTATTAATGTGTGTGGGAATCGAACCCAGAACTGCTGCTACTAACTTTCTAACAATGGACCATGGTGGGACCATTCTACGCCCGAGCATCAAAACTCCGTGGATCAAATGATAGACCAATTTTTAATTCCGTTTTTTCTTCCCAATTGCAGATGAGCTGATTCAGCGCTTAAAATCCAACCCCGACTTCTTTAAGGACGAGAGCAAGAAACGCGTCAACGAGAACCTTCGGCCAGGGAAGAAGACCACCGTCGAAGACTTATTTGGGATCCAAGGCAGCTTCAAGAAGCTCGATATAGACTGATCGTGCTTGTTAGATAACAGTGCCAGTTTTGATGTCTACCTACTTCATCATCATCAGCTAGTCCAGGATACGCGCCACAATATAGTCTTATCAGGTCATTTTATCAGACCATACATTTATCATCTAAAACTGTCTATAAGATTATCGGCCGTATTCATAAACATTACTATGAGGTGTCACAGTGCGCGTGCACGCACACGTTTGTTAGTCGTATACCTCGAAATCAAAAAATCCTTGTAGCTTTTCACCTATTCGCATTTCGCCGCGATATCCAAATTTCTGAATAGATTTTTATTCTTGTAGTATAATTTTTGATCGCTAATTACAATTGTCTAAAAAATTCTTAGTAGATTTACTTTCCTGCCTGTCTTCATTGTAAATAGGCTATTGCTAATACGTGCTACATCAAAATTAGCTACTGTTGTAAAAATCTGTTAAAAATATATGCTAGTAACAAAATATACTACCGATATTAGACGCTACAACAAAAAACGCTATCACGGTGAAATGCGAATTAGTGAAAAGCTACAAGGATTTTTTGATTTCGAGGTATACAACTAACAAACGCACGTACAGGGTGCTCTATTCAACGCTGTGCTTTCGATGTGCTGCTTCGTTTGTGAATACGGGCNAGCTAGATACGCGATGACCGTGGACGAGCCGTACTCACTTGAAGGTTGGATACGTTACATGCTACGTTACGTGCTACATGGCAGGTGAGTACCTTAGTGAGCCTTAGATACTAATGAAGGACTATTCCTACCTCAGACCTGGACCTGTTGCTGGTGTTCCACTGCTGCGAGCGCAGCGCGGAGGTGGCCAAGCAGGTGCTGGACCTGCACTACACGCTGCGCACACTCTTCACCGCCTTCTTCAAGGACCGCGTCATCGATCGGAAGGTCGACTTGTGTTTGAACACTATGTGAGTCTTTGTTATAATTGGGCAACTACTTATTATCACATTGCTTTCAGTTCGATCACCTGTATTTGATCACCCAGGTGATCCGAGCGACACTTTGGTGTCTTTTGATCACCCATAAATAAGAAGTTCACTTCGATCACCTAGGTGATCTTATCCATGGGTGATCAAAGGACACTAGGGAAGCGCTGGACGCAGGCCGCTACCAATCGATCAACATGGAAAGCATTGGGGGAGGCCTATGTTCAGCAGTGGACGTCCTATGGCTGAAATGATGATGATGATGATGATGAGTCCATTTTGGTCACCTAGGTAATCAAATCCAGGTGATCAAAGTGGAACAGACCTTTTAGTTTGGCATAAGACATGGCTAAGATTTACTAATATTCCCGTTAACCCCTTCAGCTAAACTAAGGTATAGCGATTTCCCTACAATAGTTTAGCAGACGACGGGGACACAACTCCCGACTGTCGAATCGACATGAAAATTGATGGTATATCATTAAATCCCTGTACCATCCTATGTTTTCGCAAAAAGTAACCTATCACTCACCCGTACATCTCCCCGCGTTCGTCCTGTTCGTACCAGAGCGTCGATGTGACGTCACGGAGGAGGTGCACGATTAGGAGGTATAGTGAGGATATAACCACAAAACTTTGATGAAAAGTACCTTAATGTATAGGTTAGTGTCCGTGTCTCTCACTCGGCATGGGGCACACTGAAAACCAGGGTCGTGGCTTCCCTCACCGGGGGCCACGGCATATGCTGAGTGGGGTCCCATTGCGATGGGCATCGCTATGCGACAGGGTGGCACTGCTTAGTTTACTTGCTCATTCATTGTATGTTTTATGTCACCTCTGTCTTATTTGCTTTTTTTTTTATTTTACCTCTTTTGTCTTTTGTGATGTGCATATGGCATGGCAATAAATGTTTCTTTCTTTCTTTCTAATGTAACATTATCCTCTTCCAGTCTCTACGCGCCAATCCCCACGCCCACCAAGGAGGGCCACCGCTGCGTCTACCCTGCCGTCCGATCACTATAACGCCGTTAAGTGCAAAAACCACTTTCGGAGAAAAACGAGTTTAAAGATCACGAATTAAAAAAAAATCGCTGTTTCAAAAGTAAAAGAGTAATTTGTAATTTAAATACATNATCATAATCATCTGTTACGTTAATTTCGGGCGAGCGAAGTCGTGGGCAAAAGCTGGTTTAATACAATATAATTTTCATTTCAAATCAAACTGACTGAAAATGACAATTTGACTAGTTTTTGACCAATTTGACCGTAAATGACAGTCAAATTCAATCAGTTTTGTCATTTTTAACACTTGGCCACCGACGTCCATTCGGCACATTCGCGACACCCCCGACTTTTGCATACCGAGCGCATACCGAGATTTGAATTTCGAAAGAAAGCTCTTGTTTCGTCTGTTTATATGAAGTTACAATACTGTATGATATTATTACCGTGTCTTCGGCATAGTAAGCTGTCTGTTCAACTGAGCCGTACTAGACGCCTCACAGACTGATCGATGAGTGCTCATAGTCTGACACATGAGTAGGAGAAGAAGTCTCTCGAAAATCGGAATAGACGCTTACCATCAGAGTGAGGTAGAGAAGAAGAAGCTTCTAGTGCTGGCTTCTAGAAATATCGTGCTTACTACTTGTCCTTAGCACGCGCGAGAGCCTCGGAGTCGGTGGGGTGGTCGGGCAGCGGGTGTTGGAGTATCCAGTGATAGAAGGAAGGTTTCTAGACAGATGCTTGGCAACAGCTTACCATCAGGGTGCGGATGCTTGTAGTGCTGCTGATGCTAATAGAGGTGTGGTCACTTTGGGTGTTACACACAGATGCCTCATAGATCGATGAGACCTCATAGTAGGAGAAGGAGATTCTAGAAAATCGGAATAGACGCTTACCATCATGGTGAGCTAGAAAAGAAGAAAAAGCTTCTAGTGCTGTTTTCTAGAAATATTATGCTTACCATCAGGGTGAGGATGCTCGTAGTGCTGTTGTGCGATCTGCGCATACAGCTGGTAGTGCTTGTCCTTAGCGCGCGCGACGGCCTCGGAGTCGGTCGGGTGGTCGGACAGCGGGAATTGGTCGCAGAGCATCCAATGACTGAAGGAAGGTTCTAGAAGTAGACGCTTGGTAACAGCTTACCGTCAGGATGCGGAAGCCGGTCATCTTCGGCATAGTAAACCTCTGTTCAACTGAGCCTCATAGACTCATTGATGAGAGCTCATAGTCCGACAATAGAGAAGAACAAGAAGCTTAGTGCTAGAAATATCACTCTTACCATCAGGGTGAGGATGCTCGTAGTGCTGTTGTGCGATCTGCGCATACAGCTGGTAGTGCTTGTCCTTGGCGCGCGCGACGGCCTCGGAATCCGTAGGGTGGTCGGGCAGCGGGTCGCTCAGGAGCGGGTGGAAGCCGTCCTTGTCGGCCACGTAGTCCACTGTGCGGAGCTTCTGGCGAGGGTCTACGTACGAGAATGTGCCTGGAAGAAGAAGGATCATTGGTTAATAAATGGAATTAGTCTTAGCTGGTTCAAGGCTTCATGATAACTATAGAGTAGTTCCACTTCAGTACGGATTCATGGATTGTTTAAGCCAACTTTACTTCACTCAAAAGCCTGTTACTAAATATTTTCTGTTATTTGCTAAGACCAACCTTCTAATGCCCGTGCGAAAGCACATTCAGCAGGGCCAGCTAAGCTTGAGTTGATGATACAAGTAACTTGGTGATATCATGAAGACTGAATTACTTTCTTCACTAACAAATACGCTCACGCCTTGGGCGTGGCAGGTCATCAAGGGAAGGGTAGCTGACCCCATTCCTTATCTTTCGTTCTTAAGTATAGCGAGCGATCATTAGTGTCGCCTCATGGCTCATGGCTCTTGCTGACTTTAGTCATAATAAACCATGTTCACTTTATTCCAGGGTTCAAGTATGTATAAGTAGGGCAGATATGTACCATCCTAGACTGCATCCCACTTAACATCAGGTGCGATTGTGGTCAAATAACTGCCTTGTTATGCATANTGTGAATACGGGCGTATATTTTGGCGCGCATCCTAGGCTGGTAGGGCATTTAGTTCTTACTACATGACCTCTAATTTGCCAGAAGCAAATGCAGAATTTGACCTACACCGCCCCGCTGGCTGGACGGGTATGATGGCCTGGTGTTCGCTTAATTTCTATGTCCTAGACCTAGAGTTTCTATGTCCTAGTTAGAGTACCTACCCTAAAGTAGGTAGGTATTTGTTACAGCTGCAGAGAATAAAAAAACTGTGCTTTTTAATAATGTTACGCTTAAGGCACATAATTATTAGGATATTTTTGTAAGTCAGACGATAACAGCGGTTTTCATAACAGAAATCTATCAAGAATATAATAATATAATGTGTTACAGTTTTATGCAATAAATCGATAGTTTAATTAAAAAATATTCCTAAATTTTAAGAAAAATATGACTAAATACATAGACCAAATCTTGCTAAATGAGTATGTGTCTGCGAAATATTTATCAATATTTCCTTAAATAAATGGTGTGCTCCAATTAGATTAAGTACCTGAGTATTAATTTGGGTATGGTTTTGTTTTATTAAACTGTGTTATGTTATTTTACTACAGAGGTTGGTTTTATAGTTAGTTTAATTTATACATTTTAAGTAATGACATTGATTTTGAGATTTTTGGTGATATTAAATGTAAATAAAATAAATATAATAATATCAAATTTTAAAATTATTTATTTTATCCTATCCATTCCCCGATTTTTATTTAGGGAAAATACCTACACAAGAAAAAATCAAACGATACTTTTCTATGCCTTTCAGAGTAAAGTATCACAGAGTTTTTTTAATGTTTTAATTTAAATAATTCATATGTCTTTTTGGCTATGCATTAACTTAAATGATGTTTGATGATATGGAATTTCTGACTTCTCCATACTATTTATTGTGCATCTACTGTTGGTGACGGCAGAGTAGAAAGCCGTGTTGGTGACGGCAGAGTAGAATACATTTGTCACCAACCCCAACTCTTCCCGCGGGTGTCGTAAGAGGCGACTTAGGGACTACACATCAAACAGAGAATGGGCAGCAGCGCTCTCTGAAAAACATCAATCTTTTAAACTGCGATCTCCAACCCGCCTGCCAAGCGTGGAGATTATGGCAAAACCCTCCACTATAGTGGAGGAGGCTCATAGTCCAGCAGTGGACTATAAAGGGCTGTTGATGATGAGAACTACCCATATGTTAATTTAAGCTAGTGTGGGCTGTGTATACCATTTACTTAACACCCTGTACACAAATAAATAAATAATAATATCTTTATTCTCACCATAATCTTACAAATAAGGTACATAAGACTGATCAAAAGGAACATCGTTATGTTGGTGATTATGTGTGTGAGTGTGTTTGTGTGTGTGGGTGCTAGTATGTAAGCGGTCTAGCAAGCGATGTCACTGCTCAAAGTTATTTTTTCCGGATTATTAGCAGTTGTTCCGTTGCTGTATGACCAAGCCCCAGCAGGGCTGTGGTCATAAATGATTTCAACTGCTTGTGATTCATGTTAAAGATCAGGGGTGGCCAACTTGATTAGATTATGTCTAATCAAGTTGGCCACCCCTGATCTTTAATCTACTGCTTACTAACGAAACTCTGGGCGATCTACCACTTACATACTTCTTGAAATCTTAAATGAAATATCATAGTTTAGTAGTTTTAGTACACAATCATGTAGTATTTTTTGCCTTGCCACGATCGACTGGACTAATATTCGCGATCGACCGGTTGGCCACCTCTGCTGTAGATAGACTACTGCTATGATGATACAGTGCAAGTAGTAATAAGATTTTCATAAATATAAATAGTCTCAATCAGCAGCACTTTGTTAAATGAACCAGCCATCGCTCGTCTCAGCCATATTGCAGGGAATATAGCGCTCCGCCTTACACGACCTCACCCTGGAGCTTTTACAGTGAAAATGACACAAATACCAGGTAACAGAAATACTGAAAATTGAATACTTACATACGTTCGTATAGTAACCTACATAAAACCAGTAAAGCCAACGACGCGTGTAATTGCTTATACATATTGAAAAAACGTTTAAAATCATATTATAAAGCTGTCAACTAATTTTCAGCTCATTATGTTGAAATGGTCACTCGGTCGACAATTTCAGATAAATATGTTAGAAAAAATTGCGTAAAATTGTTTCCATTAACTAATAACATGTGCGTATAAAAATAAAGGAAACTGTTAGTTTGTTTGTGAGGTCACTACAAAATAAAGTTATTTATACGGAATGACCCTAAGCTTTCAACTATACAGGCATCTAGATTAGGTATTTCCTTGTATATTCCCAAGATTTACATCTCTAAAATTGAGAATCTTGAAATGATTGCTTTATGGGAGGAATTCAGGTGAAGACACCTAGTTGTCCTACAGTTGGGCCAAAGTCTCTTTAGACTCCTCCATTTTCTACAGTCTTAGGGCAAAATTGCCTTTGCTAAATACGCATTCTCGTCATCTCGCCATTGTTACGTGGAAGAAACCTTGATGAAGTGGTTCGAGCTTCGTGTGATGATTTTGATCCTAATATTCAGCTAAAGTGTAAAAGGCTCTTGCAAGGCTTTACAAGTGAAACCATGTGCCTAAACTAGTTCTGAACAATCATTACAATGGTAAGCGGAAGAGCAATTGCGATGATTCGCCAGTTTTCCACCTTGCGTGTATAAAAAGGGGGGTGTATGTTTGATGGGCATCAGTTGCATCCAAAATGAAGTTCCTTGGGCTTCTTCTGGCTATCATGGCGTTGGCGTTTGCCGTCGTGGTGAGTTCTATTTGGATATTTTTATATGGTCAAATTGGTCATTTAAATCAACCTTTTTTATGAGTATTATATTTTCAGACAGATAAAATGTAGATAATTTAAAAAAAAAATGGTTTGACCAATTCGGGATCAATCCCATTCCGTCCTCTCTTTGTCAGATAACGTCTCTAGCTTTAAGCTTCTGAACCTCAAACCTATTCTACTGCACATCCAATAGCTAGCTGAATCTGTTTGACCATAGCGTTGTTGTCAGTTTAAAAGGACGTGTCATCCCACATTTAAAAAAAAATATACAGTTTTTTGTCTCCTGAAAACCTACTGGTATTAACATACATCCTTTTGAACTGACAGCGACGATAGGTCACGCACAAGGCCAGTGACATGGCCTCATGACCTGTGACCAAACATATACCAGCTTCTTGCTCTTCTAGAAAATCTAGACTTATCAGCTATTTTGACTAGGGTTCATCATCATCATTTCAGCTGTATACAATAGGACTCCACTGCTGAACATAGACTTCCCCCAATGATTTCCATGTTGACCAGCTGGAGGCAGGACCAGCGCCTTTCTCCTATCTTTAGTCCTCGGTTCTTGTGGGTGGATGTCTTACGATGCGCTTGCCGGTACATGGTCTCCATTCCAGAACCTTACTGCCATATTGGCATCAAGCGGTTCTGGGGTGCACTGAAAAAAATGTTTGGTTAATGCTTACACAACAAAAGTGACCACCGAACTAAGTGTTAACTATAACCAAACTAAGTCTAGCTCACTACAGAATTATTTGTTTAATTTACACAACATTTTGTTCCTCATAACCAAAGTGTTCGGTGGTCACTTTTGTTGTGTAAGCAGTAACCAAACATTTTTTTCAGTGTGGAGGCGTTTCTGAGTAGGTACTGTGCCCTGCCCATTGCCTCTTCAGCTTACTAATCCGTCGTTACTAGGGTAACTCAATCCATGTATGTTCACAGAGCGGCATGAGCGTGGGCGGCGCGGAGGGCCACGGCAAGGCGGCCTGCGGCGGCGGCGGCTTCCCACCCGGCCCCCCTCCGGCCAGTAAGTACACACACACCTCCAAACTAAATCTATCCGTTCACTGGGTCTCTGCCACGAAATACCGATCGACCAACAGATCAAGCGCCACAAGTGGAACTGGATTGGCCACACTCTCCGAAGGGACCTCGATCACATCCCTAAGCAGGCTCTGGATTGAAATCCTAAAGGAAAACGCAAACGTGGTCGCCCCAGGCAAACTTGGCGGCGCACTGTAGCGGACGAGGCGAAGAAGATCGGCAAGACCTGGAGCGAGATCGAGCGAGAAGCTCAAGACCGAACGAGATGGAGGACTGTTGTGGACGCCCTCTGCCCCATCTAGGGGACATAGGACCATAAGTCAAGTCACTGGGTCTCAACGAACATCACTTTCAATCAATCAGTCGGCCGTTTGGTGTAGTGGTTCAGAACGGACTACTATGCCGTGAGGTCCCGGGTTCAATTCCCGGTCGGGCAGAAATTGAAATGATGAATTTTAATTTCTGTGACGGGACTGGGTGTTACATGTATAATATGTATGTATTTAAAAAAAATGTATTTAAGTATGTTCATGTCAGTTGTCCAATGCATTTTAAAGTGTTTCCATAGTTCAAAGGAATACTTACTGAAACACTATAATGCACACATGCTTGAGTTACTTACCTAATGAAGCTGCTACAAAAATAGTACCTATTTCAAACCATTTTTTTTTTCAGATGCTACCGGCTAACCTGGGACACTTCAAGTTGAACCGACGACCTATTGCACTAATTATGGCTTTTGATCACTATTAAACTTTCACTAGGTAACTACTTCATTACAGTTTTTCATTTCCACTACCTTTTCCCATCCAGAACTTTAGTCCTTAGCCGTCACTTTTAGCAACATAAAAAAATTTTTGTTTTCAATTAACGTGCAGAGAGTAGTAAAATCTTTTAGAATCATATTTATTAAGTACCAAACGCGTACAACGAATTTTCGCAAACCAAATACGCAATGCGAATTCTACCAACTTACCCTAGCAATGTCCATCATTGTTTCTTTCACCAACAAACTAATCAATGTCATGAATTACAAATAAATACTTAAATCTAAAGTAGATAAAAACACTACATATAAATATGACTACAGAATTATTTATTCACTTTTCGACACGAATTTTATACATAAAACGTACAAAAAGTATAAAAATGATTTGTTAGACTAGCTACTTCAATATTTGATGGCAATTTTAGAGTATTTCGATACGTTCTTATCACATTACATTACACATATTACATCACAATAAGGCACTTTTCAGTAATGGTGGGTGACAAGAATAACTACGGGAAGAATTATAATCTACACGTGACAAATACATATAATAGATCAAATACACCCTGTATATTATAATTAAATAAAGGTTTGTGTCCTTATCGATACCAATTTAGCTCACAATTCATAACATTCGGTAAACAATACATACAAATAATATTTAATACTTATACAGAATATTATGTGTAGGTAACTGAAAATACTTAAATATTATAATCTACATACTTATCAATACGCATGATATTATGCGAGGTTAAGGCGCATTTTATTAATTCTTTGATGAATGTATCATTCAGAAAATATCAATTTTCCATCGTAAGAAAACGTAATGTAACAATAGACAGAATTAAATATTCGAATGATTCGAATGTACCTATAAAGTTAGTACTTAGGTATTTTTCTAGACCTATAGTATAGTATTCTAGAACTTGTAGAGTGACTGATTAGTAAAAATCACAATTAATTATCATCAATTCCATCGAAAAGCTCTTTGGAGTGTCATTAAAGATCCTTATCCTTACGATTAAGTTGCGAAATCATTAAATCAAATATCTCTTGATTTCTCGAATCATAACTTTGTGAACGATACTTATGTCATTTGTCAGTTGAAGTGATATAATTAATTATAGGTCGCGCAACAAATGTTGAGTCGAAAACATACTCAAACTGATGTAATATTTGAATACAGGACCAACAAATCAGTCAGAATACGCAATACATCAGTGCAGACCGCGTATACAGATACAATTCTTTGTTTTTGTTATCGCCTCAACTCTTGCTGCGCGACCTATAAATTCAGTTTAATTTCATATTGTCATAAACTACCTATCATTATCATAAGAAGTTTTATGAACAAAAAAGTTCGATCTAAAAAGAGTAACGGTTTGATTTTAAAAAGTATAGATGCTTCCACGAAGACCGCCTCACCAATTTTTGCGGGGAGTTTGATCCGAGCAATCCGAGCGTCATTATTGTAGTGTGCGTATGCACTCATGGATAATTTAACGTGTACCGCTAACACTTAAACATTAGCGGAAGAATTGTGGGGCGCGTCTTTGTGGATGAAACGATCTAAAGCCCGGTCCGTGAGCACGTAGAATTTTGTCCAATGACCCCAAGCTACCCATCCTTATCGCTCGCGCGTAATTATATTGCTGTCGCGACTGTGCGACTGGCACCGCAGTGAGTGTGCGAGCGTGATAGCAACATAATTACGCGCGAGCAATAAGGATGGGTAGCTTAGGGTCATTGGACAAAATTCTACGTGTTTACGGACCAGACTATATATTATGTAAGTACTTAAAACAGATTTACCAACAAGTCCAGAGTCTTCGAGAAACCAAAAGCTGCTTCATCAGAGCTGTCGTTCTCAATCGTGCTGCTGCAACTCCTGGTACAGCTGCTTCTCCTCGTCCTCGCGCTGCAGTGCTTCGCGCTCGGCCGCTATGCGAGCGTGCTGCTCGGCGATCACGCGGAACAGCTGCGCGTGCTTCGCTGTCGCTTCCGCTACTGCTACGGACTGGCGGGGCACTGACGCTCCTGGAAAATTTAAATGGAAAATGTTTATTCGATTTTGATTAATGTTTGGTACATAAAAATACTATTACTGGGGAGAGATATAGTACGAATCAGGTACGAAAAAATGGGTTTATCTTTGGAGATATTGTCTTTATTCGACTCATCGATGAGAGCTCATAGTCCGACTTCAGAGAAGGGAATGAAGCTTCTAGTGCTGGTTTCTAGAAATAGCGACCAAATCATCACATTTTGCTGTATAGCCAGGATCTACAGCTTGGCCACTAATGAAACCTATGAAGTTGCTACGTGGACACCCTGCCAGTAAATAGCATTTACTGGCAGGGTGAGGATGCTGGTGGTGCTGTCATCTTCGGCATAGTAAACTGTCTGTTCACTGAGCCGTACCAGATGCCTCACATGTTCATCGATGAGAGCTCATAGGATGACACTAGAGAAGGAATAGAAGCTTAGTGCTGACTTCTATAAATATCACGCTTGCCATGAGGGTGCGGATGTAGAGCATCCCGGAGTGAGACGCTAGGTTGATCCAGTGATAGAAGGAAAGTTTAGGTTTAGAAGATCTTACCATCAGGGTGAGGGTGTTCGTAGTGCTGTTGTGCGATCTGCGCATACAGCTGGTAGTGCTTGTCCTTAGCGCGCGCGACGGCCTCGGAGTCGGTCGGGAGGTCGGGCAGCGGATTGCAGAGTATCCAGTGATAGAAGGAAGGTTCTAGTAATACCTATGCTTGATAAGAGCTTACCATCAGAGCGTGGGTGCTCGTTTGGGCGTACAGCTAAGTCGTGGCAGCTCATCTTCGGCATAGTAAGCCGTCTGTTCAACTGAGCCGTACTAGACGCCTCACAGACTGATCGATGAGTGCTCATAGTCTGAGACAAGAGTAGGAGAAGAAGTCTCTCGAAAATCGGAATAGACGCTTCCCATCAGAGTGAGGTAGAGAAGAAGAAGCTTCTAGTGCTGGCTTCTAGAAATATCGCGCTTACTGCTTGTCCTTGACAGCCTCGGAGTCGGTGTGGTGGTCGGGCAGCGGGTCGCAGAGTATCCAGTGATAGAAGGAAGGTTCTAAATATGTTTGGCAACAGCTTACCATCAGGATGCGGATACTTGTAGTGCTGCTGCGGTAATAGAGGTGTGGCTACAGGTAGTAGGTCACTTTGGGTGTTACACACAGATGCCATAGATCGATGAGAGCTCATAGTAGGAAAAGGAGATTCTAGAAAATCGGAATAGACGCTTACCATCATGGTGAGTTAGAAAAGAAGAAAAAGCTTCTAGTGCTGGTTTCTAGAAATATTATGCTTACCTACCATCAGGATGAGGGTGTTCATAGTGCTGTTGTGCGATCTGCGCATACAGCTGGTAGTGCTTGTCCTAAAGGCGCGGTCGGGTCAGTCGGCTGGTCGGGCAGCGGGTCGCAGAGCAGAACTTTAGGGCTGATCCAGTGGTAGAAAGAAGGTTCTAGACGTAGACGCTTGGCAACAACTTACCGTCAGAATGCGAATGCTCGTAGTGTTGCTGCGCGATCTGGACTTACCACCTTGTCACCTTGAGCATGGTAAGGCGTCCATTCAACTGAGCGATTCCAGACTCCTTATAGACTCATCGTTGAGAGCTCATAATCCGACACAAGAGTTGCAGAAGAAGCTTCTAATGCTGGATTCTCGAAAATCGAAATAAACGGTTACCATCAAGGTGGGCTAGAGAAGATTGAGAAGAAGAAGAAGCTTCTAGTGGTGAAGGTTCTAGAAAAAGACACTTGGCAAGAGCTCACCGTCTGGGTGAGGATGCTCGTAGTGCTGTTGTGCGATCTGCGCATACAACTGATAGTGCTTGTCCTTGGCGCGCGCGACGGCCTCGGAGTCGGTCGGGTGGTAGGACAGCGGGAATTGGTCGCAGAGCATCCAATGACTGAAGGAAGGTTCTAGAAGTAGACGCTTGGTAACAGCTTACCGTCAGGGTGCGGAAGCCGGTCATCTTCGGCATAGTAAACCTCTGTTCAACTGAGCCTCATAGACTCATTGATGAGAGCTCATAGTCCGACACTAGAGAAGAACAAGAAGCTTAGTGCTAGAAATATCACTCTTACCATCAGGGTGAGGATGCTCGTAGTGTTGTTGTGCGATCTGCGCATACAGCTGGTAGTGCTTGTCCTTCGCACGCGCGACGGCCTCGGAATCCGTAGGGTGGTCGGGCAGCGGGTCGCTCAGGAGCGGGTGGAAGCCGTCCTTGTCGGCCACGTAGTCCACCGTGCGGAGCTTCTGCCGAGGGTCCACGTACGAGAATGTGCCTGAAAGGAATAATCATTAGTTATTAAATGGAATGAGTCTTAGCTCAAGGCCTCATGATAACTATGGGACTATGGAGTAGTTCCACTGCAGTACGGATTCATGGATTGTATAAGACAACTTTACTACTAAATATTTTCTGTCCTCAGGTAAGACCAACCTTCTAAAGCCCGCGCGAAAGCACATTTAGCAGGGCCAGCTAAGCTTGAGGTGAGGATACAAGTAACTTGGTGATATCATGAAGACTGAATTACTTTCTTCACTAACAAATACGCTCACGCCATGGGCGTCGCAGGTCATCAAGGGTAGCTGACCCCATACCTTATCTTTCGTTCTTAAGTATCGCGAGCGATCATTAGTGTCGCCTCATGGCTCATGGCTCTTGCTGACGTTAGTCATAATAAACCATGTTCACTTTATTCCAGGGTTCAAGTATGTATAAGTAGGGCAGATATGTACCATCCTAGACTGCATCCCACTCAACATCAGGTGCGATTGTGGTCAAATAACTGCCTTGTTATGCATATAAAAAAAAGTCCCAGTAACAAATGCATCGTCCTCATACCTCTGACAGTCCCGCTGCCATCGCTGACCTCGCTGTGCTGTCTGTCAGCGTGTCCAGGGTAGCGGCCAGCTGTGTACGAGAACACGTAGGGCTTCGGCGGCGGCGGCTCTGTGGTGGTGGTGTCCACGAGGTGGGACACGTCGCAGCCGGCCAGCGCTGCCGATGCCAGGACCAGAAGCGTGGGGTATAGCATCTGGAAATGTTTAGATTATTTAGTTAGATTGGTTCAGTCAGTAGGAGGTCTTCTGGTGGAGATCTCACAGTTAGAACATTAGCTGGAGTCCTTGATTATTTACCCATTGGTCTCATAAAAAATAATCTGCCCTTGGACGATATCATCCAAGCTTCTGCCTAAGGATAGCTAGCTACTAAAGTTAAGGAAGCATTCTTTAAATGTCAGGCAAGTACACTCATATCGTCTTTTGATTTTTGATAAAGAAAAGATACTGTTTCAATTTTTATGTTGTAAAACAGGACTATTATAGTGAAGTGTGAAATGAGAAGTAAAGATCTTGTGTAAATTATATTGGTACAGACATATTAGTATCCAGTTTTAAAAGAGATTGTCTTAAAAACAAAGGTTAAAACGAATTCTTATGCTCAAAGGAGCATGACGAGTTACGATTTTAGTGTAGGTACATATTATTTGCAAGGTATTTTATTTAGCAGTACCATTAACAGGAAAATAACACTTAGATCAAAATTCTAGGTATGTTGCCATTTCCTGATTTTGAAGGCCGTTCTCCTATCACGATTGATATTTGTTGATTTGTGTTTACAAAATATTAATTAAATTCCGGTAATAAACAAAATGCAACTGAGATGCTTGCGCAATCTCTTCCCAGTACGTACCTAACCTACTGGTGAAATTAATAGTAGGTACCTAAGTTACATGTTGGTTGTGTATCCTGTGAAGGCCTATAAAGCCTACAAAAAAAGAAATGAAACTTGAATTTTATAATTTTATCAATCATAAGTAAAATAAAAACTTTGTTTATAAATAAAGATGACGTTTCAAATCCTGGTCCGATAGTTAAAATTCTTTCACCCATATAAAGCCACATTTTTGGTAAATGTCATCTAATACGAGTATTACTATTATGTATTTTGTGTCTATAGGCAGTACGCAGACCGGCTAAGCTGGTTTCTAATAAAGGACAAAATTAGAAAAATGAGGCAATCTCACAATGATTATAATATAAATTCTCATATGAAATCGCAGAAATCAGAGATCCAATACAATTTGAGCTCATCTTTGAATTTGGAAAACTTATGCTTTAAACTATTATGGAAATCATTTGGGGTGGCCTATGTTCAGCAGTGGACGTCCTATAGCTGAAATGATGATGATGATGATGCTTTAAATAACTGGCGAGATATGGCAAAGATAAACTGAAGTGGAGAATGCGCTGCGCCATCTTATTTTTTTTTTACAACATACCAATAAAGATTTCGATTATATGTTTCAAATGTCTCCATATGCCTCCGCCTGATGCGACCGGCCTAGGAACGAGTCGCGTGACCTTTGAGGTTCGTTGCGTCATCGTAAGTCACGATGGGACTGCGGCCGATAGGTGATCTTATTAGATGTTTAGTAATAACAATTCGATGCCTGACCCGGAAGTTCAGGGTTCGATTGTGAGATGACATAGGTAGTACAGAATGTATGTCGTGTCGGCTCCTAGTTAGGTACCTACTAAGGATATTGCAGGCTCAATAATTGAAATATTCAAACATTTGAAAAGAAAGACGGTTTTCGTAGTAATCTTTCGTAATCGTAGTTTTCGTAGTAGAAACAATTCATGAAAAGTATATTTTTCCCATACGAATGAACGTTTTCTCTACCTACGTCAACATTTGCTCTACTACGTCGTTAATGTATTATGTAATTTATAGATACCAACAGTTTTTTTTNTAGGTACCTACATATTATTTGCAATGTGAATCAGGTAGGTATTTTATTTAGCCAGTAGGTACCAATAACAGGAAAATAACACTTAGATCAAAATTCTAGGTACTCGTATGTTTCCATTTCCTGATTTTGAAGGCCGTTCTCCTATCACGATTAATATTTTGTTGATTTGTTTACAAAATATTAATTAAATTCCGGTAATAAACAAAATGCAACTTCTTAGTTGCTTGCACAACTTCCTCACAGTAAAGTTATAGTTTTGTCGTTAACCCTGTGAAGGCCTATAAAGCCTACACAAAATAATTATATAAACTTGAACTTTATAATTCTGTTAATAAAGATGACAAGTTTCAAATCCCGGTCCGATGATTAAAATTCTTTCATCATCCCGTATAAAGCTACATTTTGGTTAAATGTCATCTAATATTACTATTGTGTATTTTGTTTCCTTAGGCAGTACATGTNCACACTAGGGAGGGGGGGTCTCAGAAATGTGACCACCTGTGACAAGGACGGAGGGGGGCTAAAAATCATGAAATTCGTGTGACGTACTTTATGGATGGCCCCTTACCTAACACCTTGTAAATAGGCTACTGCTAGGATAACACTGTGCAAGTAGTTTAAGATAATAAGATTTTCATAAATAAAAACAGTCTCCGTCAGCAGCACTTTGATAAATAATGACTTCTATCAACAATAGGTATCAACTACCTAGATATCAAAAACTACGTTCCGTACGAAATAACGGCGCACTTGAGAAGTGAGTTCCTCCATTCAACCATATTGTAGGAAATATGCGCTCCGCCTTACATGACCTCACCCTGGAGAATTTAAAGTGAGAATGACAAATACAAGGACACATACGATTAAAATACTGAAAATTGAATAAGCACATACCTATTTACTTTAGTATAGTAACCTACATAAAACCAGTAAAGCCAACGACGCGTGTGATTGCTTATGCATATTGAAAAAACGTTTAAAATCATATTATAAAGCTGTCAACTAATTTTCAGCTCATTATGTTGAAATGGTCACTCGGTCGACAATTTCAGATAAATATGTTAGAAAAAATTGCGTAAAATTGTTTCCATTAACTAATAACATGTGCGTATAATAATAAAGGAAACTGTTAGTTTGTTTGTGAGTTCTATAGATGTTCACAACACAATAAAGTAAATGTCTTTAAGAAGCTTTAAACGCCCAAGTTATAATTTCGATAATTTATATCTCTGAAATAGAGTATAGATCTTGATTTAATTGCTTCATTTGAGGGATTCAGGTGAAGACACCTTCTATGTCCCATAGCCATTGTCTATTATAGTATATTAAGACAGAATTGCCTTTGCTACTCCTTTGTCATCTTCCAAAATTACGCCACAGCCTACTTCTTCCACCTTGATGGAATTATTTGAATTTCAGGTGTCCATAATCAATGTGTGTGTGATTATTTTGATGCATTCAGCAAAAGTGTATAAAAGGCCCTTGCAAGGCTTTACAAGTGAAACCATGTGTCTAAACTAGTCCTGAAAAATAATTACAATAGTAAGCGGAAGAGCAATTGCGATGATTCGCCAGTTTTCCACCTCGCGGGTATAAAAAGAGGGGTGTATGTTTGATGGGCATCAGTGGCATCCAAAATGAAGTTCATTGGGCTTGTTCTGGCTATCATGGCGTTGGTGTTTGCCGTCGTGGTGAGTTCTATTTGGATATTTTTATATAGTCATTTAAATCAACCTTTTTTTAAATAAAAGTATTATATTTTCTGACAAATAAAATGTAGATAACCTTAAAAAAATTGATTTGACCAATTCGGGATCAATCCCATCCCATCCTCTCTTTGTCAGATAGCGTCTCTAGCTTTAAGCTTCTAAACCACAAACCTATTCTACTGCACATCCAATAGTTAGCTGAATCTGTTTGACCATAGGTCACGAGGCCAGTTATATGGCCTCATGACCTGTGGCCAAACATATACCAGCTTCTCGCTCTTCCAACACTGCATTTTCCCTCATCAGGACAGGCAAATCCAGACTTATCAGCTATTTTGACTAGGATTCATCATAATCATTTCAACTATAGGACGTCCACTGCTGAACATAGATTTCCCAAAATGATTTCCATGTTGACCGGCTGGAGGCAGGACCAGCGCTTTTCTCCTAGCTTTAGTTCTCGGTCTTTGTAGGTGGATGTCTTACGATGCGTTTGCCGGTATATGATCTCCACTCCAGAACCTTGCTGCCCCNCATGCACATAGGCAGTACCACAATACGCAGACCGGCTAAGCTGGTTTCTAATAAAAAGGACAAAATTAGAAAAATGAGGCAATCTCATAATCATTAAAATTTAGAGTCGCATACGAAATCGCACAAATCAGATTCGTACACATTTTGAGCTCATCTTTGAATTTGGAAAACTTATGCTTTAAATAAACTGACTGAGGTGGCGCAAAACAGACTGGAGTGGAGATTCTATTATTATGGGCATGGTGTAGGTACACTATGCGGGAAATTGATTGAACAGAAGGGCGAGTGTGCACACCGAAATATGGGCGACACACGGCGAAAGTAATTGAAGTGCGTGTTTACACTATATCTCGATCTGACATCCAAGATGGCTCAAATTTAGAGTGCAAGTGCGATTTTGTTCCTCATTCGATAAAGCACATGATTTCGTGCCCTGCGTGCCTAAACAACTGCACGCAGGAAGATTGAATTACAACGCCACTCTTGTAGCGGAGTTTGGGCTGACACTAAGTATTATAGGTTTGTTGTCGACACGACAAGAAGAATATCCGGCATAGTCAAACCGCGCCTTAAGACTCACTTTCGGTCGCTGCGTCTCTAAGTTAGATTTTTAACTTCATAATAATAAAGATTTAAATTTTATGCTTCAAATGTCTCCATATGCCTCCGCCTGATGCGACCGGCCTAGGAACGAGTCGCGTGACCTTTGAGGTTCGTTGCGTCATCGTAAGTCACGATGGGACTGCGGCCGATAGGTGATCTTGTTAGATGTTTAGTAACAACAGTTCGATGCCTGACCCGGAAGTTCAGGGTTCGATTGTGAGATGACATAGGTAGTATACAATGTGTGTCATGTCGGCTCCTAGTTAGGTACCTACTAAGGATATTGCAGGCTCAATAATTTAAACATTCAAACATTTGAAAAGGAAAATGGTTTTCGTAGTACAGTTCGGTGTAATCGTCAGAAACAATTCATGAAAAGTATATTGTTCCCATACGAATGAACATTTTCTCTACCTATGTCAACATTTGCTC